AAATCGCCGATCCAAATACGATGGCTAAGCCTCGGGTGGGCCATCGTGATCTTGGAGAGGACATGGTGCGTCAGGCATCGCCCGAAGCGAGTCCCAGAGCGGAGGCCCTGGACTATGCTCCGAGTAGGTTGGAATGGCTGAGAAAAGGCTCCCAGCTGTCCCAACGTGCGCATGGCGACGCACATCAGCAGTTCCAATTGAAGAACTCGAGCTGGAAAGGACAGATTGAGAGCACAACGTGCGAGACCTGGCCATTCTATGGAATCGTAGAACGACTGGATGTCCATCAATCCATCTGCGCAAGGTATCTTCAACTGATGCGATACTTTCTCTTGTACCGCGCGTACGAAGGCTTCTCTCAAACTGGAATTGCCGCGTATAGCCGCATCCCAGTGCTGCTCGGTGGAAGTAGACCATGTACGTACAAGAGGTTCTCGTACCATGCTCCATACTCGCCCAAGCATTGCCACTAATCCGATTATTCGATCTCCCGAAACCTTTTTCGGCAACATCCGACCGATGATAAGTAAAACTTGTCCTGGCCAACACCCGTATTGTTCACAAGCTTCGAAAAGGATTGCAAGTTTTGCCAATGCCGAATCAGGTAATCTTTCGAAGTCCGTGGGGGTCATCATATCAACTCCAAGGCCGGCCTTGGCTTTCATCTGTCGAAGCGCTCGTCGAATATCTGAGACCGAAATCATGGGCAAAACCTCGTCCACCGCCACTTGGTGAACAGAATGAAATGTATTCAGAACCTCTTCTTCATTCAAGACCGACGGCGACCAAAGAGAATGCCAGTGCTTCGACTTCGCGTCGATGATATCCTTGGGATGGTATAACACTTGGTCGCCATGTTCATAATCAAGCCCTGGAAGTGCCTGCCCGTGAAGAGACTTATGCAAGGTACCTAAGGACTCCGACTGCACGAAGAACTCCTTGAATTCCGCAATCGAATCGCTGACTGCTCGTCTCTGTGCACGGTTCATGACACGACGTGAGATATTCTCATAACTCTGCAAAACTGGAAGAGAGCAGGTGCCAGCTGTCCTGATGATCGTGATCCACTCGTCCGGAGGAGGAGGAGGGAGGAGGGAGGAGGGAGGAGGGAGGAGGAGGAGGAGGAGGAGGAGGAGGAGGAGGGTGGAGGGAGGAGGGAGGGAGGATGAGGAGGAGGAGGAGGGAGGGGAGGAGGAGGAGGAGGAGGAAGGGAGGGAGGGAGGAGGAGGAGGGAAGGAGATGTAGGAGGGAGGGGAGGGGAGGAGGAGGAGGATGGAGGGAGGAGGAGGAGGGAGGAGGGAGGAGGGAGGAGGAGGAGGAGGAGGAGGAGGAGGAGGAGGAGGAGCAGGAGGACCAGTGCAAACCCAAGAGTCTTCAACGATGGTGGAATAAGCCCTCCCTCCAAGCTCCCTGTTCATGGTCCTCAGACAACGGCCCATGTCCATTGAGGGAACTGTCTCGCTGGCGGACAACCGCTTGAAGACCCTGAAGCATGCCAACAAAATGGTCTCGGGATTCCAACGCCGCGGATCAGTATGAGTGTTGCGTCTTGGCGATCCTGAATCGTGCCAGAAGACCGTTCTTAGGACGTCAACACCGCGAGCCAGCGTAACTGTTGCACCCCCGTAATTCTAAACCCATCCAAAGCATCATGTCTGGTACGCTGATCATGGGAACCCGTGAAACTCTTGCAACGCGTAAAAACGGATGTGCCCCGCGCTAAGACGATAGCCACAGTTTGAAAAGGAGCCGCTTTCAATCCGCGAAACCCGTGCAATTGTTTAGAACGAATGCACGCTGCGCTAAGGTGAGATACCGTTTTCCAAAAGGGACCGCATTACGTCCGCGAGATTATTGCAACCGTTTGAAACGAATACACGCGGCGCTAAGGCGAGAGCCACAGTTTGAAAACCGTTCGCCCTCAACCCGCGAAACCCTTGCAAATGTTTAAATAGAATGTGCGCCGCGCTAAGGCGAGAACCGCATGTTGAAAGCGATCCGCCCTTCATGTGAAATTCTTGCCAATGTTTGACCTTCAGTGTCAATATTGGTGAGGCAGTCTCAGGCGAAATTCCCAGCCCGCTGTAGAAACGGGCCTCGGGGTGCGACAGAGAGAAGTTATGCACAAGGAGAATGAATGAAGGTGGAGGAGGAGGAGGTAGGAGGAGAGGAGGAGAAAGGAGGTGAGAGGAGGGGGGAGGGAGGAGAGAGGAGAGGAGGGAGGGAGGAGAGGGGAGGAGGATAGGAGGAGAGGAGGATGGAGGAGGCGGAGGAGGCGGGATATAGGAATAGGGACGGGATAGGGGTGGGGATGGGGGGGGGATGGGGAAGGGGATGGGGATGGGATAGGGATAGGGGTAGGGATAGGGATGGGGATGGGGACGGGGATGAGGATGGGGACGGGGATGGGGATGGGGGTGGGGATGGCGATGGCGATGGCGATGGCGATGGCGATGGCGATGGCAATGGCGATGGGGATGGGGATAGGGATAGGGATAGGGATAGGAATAGGGAGGAGGGGGAGGAGGAGGAGGAGGAGGAGGAGGAGGAGGAGGAGGAGGACCAGTACAAACCCAGAACCCAGAACCCCGGACCCAGTGCAAAACCAGTGTAAACCCTCCCTCCAAGCTTCCTCGTCACCAGGCCCCTGCACGGGGACACTTCCACTGAGGGGAGTGCCCTGTTGGGAGACAACCGCTTCGCGGTCCTGAAGCGTACCAAACCATTTAAGCCACGAGTCATTGTGATTGTTTCGTCTTGGCGGCCCAGAAGCGTGGCACGTAAACACCGCGAATCAACATAATTGTTGTGTTCGTACAATCTGGAATCGTTCCCAAACGCAACTTCTGGTACGTTTACCATGGGAGCCAGCGAAACTCTCGCAAATGTTGAAGACGAATGCGCGCTGCGCTAAGGCAAAAGCCACAGTTTGAAAACGGACCGCCCGCAATCCGTGAAACTCTTGCATGTTTTGAGACGTTTGCACGCGGCGCTAAGGCGAGAGCCACATGGTGAAAACGGCCCGCTGTCAAACCCTGAAACTCTTGCATGTGCTTAAGACGAACGTGCGCGGCGCTGAGGCGAAAGCCATATTTTGAAAAAGACCCTCCCTCCACCCGTGAAACTCCTGTAAGTTTTGCCCAACCATCCTGTGGTGCTGGGCCTTCGTTTTGAATAGATTGCTCCCCGCGTTCCCCTCTCCTCCTCCCCCTCCGCCCTCCTCCCATCTCCGTGCCCCATGTCGGCACAGCCCTCACACGCTTCGTGGCCTCAAAGGGAGCTCCACTGAAGGCACCAGCGGCAGGGTCCGCATGGCGGCCCCGCACCAGATTCAGCATATCCTTCTCACGCGTCGTGGCCACATTGGGAGCTCCACCGAAGGCGCCAGCGGCAGGGTCCGCATGGCGGCCCCGCACCAACTTCGGCACACCGCTCAGACGCTTCGTGGCCCCGTGGGGAGCTCCACCAGAGGCACCAGCGGCAGGGTCCGCATGGTGGCCCCAAGAAGACCTCCATCGAAGGCACCGGCGGCAGGGTCCGCATGGCGGCTCCGCATCCATTTCGGCACACCCCTCACGCGTTTCGCGTCCCCGTTGGGATCTGCCCCTGATTCTTCCCACCTGCTGTGCGGCGCTCGCACCCGCATACGGCTGGGTCCTTCGCCTGGACAACTTAGGACAACCGTGCGCGGCGCTAAAGCGAGAGCTTTATTTCGGAAGCGACCCGCCCTCCATTGATGGAACTGTCGCTAATTTTCAGTCTCAGGGCCATGAACGGTGAGGAAGTCTTAGGCAGAATGCCCGGCCCGCCCCGATTGGTTGCGGGGTGCGACAGGGAGGAGTTGTTTACAAGGCAAAGGAATGGAGGAGGAAGAGGAAGACCCAGAAGCACGGGGACTGGCAAAGGCATTGCGCCACACGTTGGGTGCCTGTGGCAGAACGGCTATTGGTGGTGCCCGCCTTGTTGTCCCTGGTCCCCGCTCCGGTCCGTCCGCTGCAGGCGTACGTTGAGGCGTCCTTGCGCCCGGCGTTTCTTGGGCCCCCTGGCCCTCTGTCTTGGCCTGTGCTGGGGCCCTCTGCGTGGCCCCACCCAGGCCTGCACCGTGCTCCTCCGCCCTGTCTTGCCCCCCCCTGTCTGTCTGCCTTGGCCCGGTTGGGCCCTGCGCCTTGCCCCCCGCGCCCCTGGCCGACTCCCCGCCCCTCCCCTCCGGCCCCCCGAGCTGGGGCACCGCCAAGAGACACAACGGGCCAAAGCTGGCGGCGTCGTGCGAGTGGGCCGTCGGCCTCGACGGCGTCTCCGCGCAGGGCCGTCCTGGGCGGCCACCCTCTCCGGGGAGCCCGGGTGGCCGGCCGCCCGCAGGTCGGGCAGCCTACACTTTGGCCCCCTGCCATGGAGAGGGCACGGCCGTAGGCGGCAACCAGCATGAGCCGCAGGCGGTCATTGGGTCGCCATTCCGCGTGGTTCGGCGAGAGGGGGGGGGCGCCTCGGCAACAAGTGCCGTGATCGCTCAAGCGCGCAAAGGAAAGGAGTAGGGAAAGGGGGGGGCGAAGTAGGAGGAGGGGAAGGAGGAGGAGGAGGAGGAGGAGGAGGAGGAGGAGGAGGAAGAGGAGGAAAAGGAGGGGGGGGATGAGGAGGAGGAGGAGGAGGAAGAGGAGGAGGAGGAGGAGGAGAGGAGGAGGGGGAGGAGGAGGAGGAGGAGGAGGAGGAGGAGGAGGAGGAGGAGGAGAAGAAGGAGGCAGGGAGCCAGCGAGCAGGAGGAGGGAGAAGAGGAGGAGGAGGAGGAGGAGGAGAGTGGGAGGAGGAGGAGGAGGAGGAGAGGAGGAGGGGAGGAGGAGGAGGAGAGGAGGAGGGGGAGGGGGAGGAGGAGGAGGAAGGAGGAGGAGGAGGAGGAGGAAGGAGGAGGAGGAGGAGGAGGAGGAGGAGGAGGGGGAGGAGGGAAGGGGGAGGAGGGGGGAGGAGGAGGAGGAGGAGGAGGAGGAGGAGGAACGGAAGGGTAAGAGGCGGCCCCACGCTACCACCTCTTCGGCCACATCCACGAGCAGGGCGGCCGGCAGTGCGAGGAGGACGGCACCACCTTCGTGAACGCAGCGCAGCACGTCGTGGTTCTGGACATCGAGCCGCGCGGCGGGCGCGCCGCCGCGCCGCCGGCGGGCCGCGAGGCCCAGGCGACCGAGGAGCTGAGAGAGGAGGAGGAGGA